AACGGGGTGTTTTGGTGTGCTGTGGCTCTAGAGCTGCTTTTGGCTTCTTTTTTTTCCGCAGCCGAAGCCCGGCCTTGCCCAGCCCAGCAGCCAGGCCAGGCATGCCTCTTCAGCAGCAGGAGCAAGAAGACGGCGAAGGCCAGCTGCAGTGGTGGAGCACAGGGCGGCAGGGGACGCAGAGTGCAGGATGACAAGGGTGACTGCAGCTGGGCTGGGGCAGCTGCGGCTTCCTGGGGCATGGCAAGCAGCCCCAGAACCGTGCAGTTCTGGGGCTGCTTGCAACCTCACAAGGCAGGGTGCAGGGCAGCCAGAAGGGCAGAGATTGGGGGGGAAGATGTAGGTGGGTGGGGGGAGTTGGAGGCAGTCCCTTACTTTACTGATGCTCAGGGCTGGGAGGGACCAAGCCCAGAATAGCTTGGAATGGGTGGGTACTTGCTTAATGACCTGCAATTCTCAGTTAACAACGGCAACCGGGACTGCGGTCGCTAAGCTTTATGACCGCATCACTTAGCAATGGAAATTCAAGTCCCAATTGTGGCCATAAGTCGAGGACTACCTGGAGGCAAATATTTTAAGTATTTAATGTATTTTTTAAAACACACACACACACTCACAGAGAAAACATGAAATTATTAGAAGCAAAAAAAGGCCAAAGATTAGAAAATAACCTTAAGTAAGAGGAAGAGGTTGTTGAGACAGCTTAGCAGATACAAAAGGCACTGAAGAATAGAAGCATCCATAGTCTCACACTGTAAGATAAGGCAGATAAAAAGCGGTTAAATTTTGCACTGGGTTTGTTGTGAAGGTGGAGAACTTACAGGGTTATGACAAGGAGTTGGAATAATGAGTCTAGCAATCAAATTTCTGATTCAACTCATCATATCTACCTATATATTATGTGTGTGTGTGTGTGCGCGCGTGTATGAGTGAAAGTGGAAGAGTTGAATCGCCTCTAGCCAAAATTAGTAATATTAACGGCTCACAAGTAGGATCTGCAACAAATTATTGCCTTCTGCAAATATTGCCACTGGATATGCCATTTCATTCCTATTCTCATTTCCTATAGTAAGTCAAGAATGCTATAACCACTGAGAATGCATAGTGTTAACTGGGCAGGGTTTTGGCGGTGGGCATTCCTTCAACTTTTTATTGCCTTAAGCCTGTTGATGCCTCCTGCTTGAGATGAAGATGGTGTTATTTTGTAATATAAGGGTTGGTGCTTGGGGTAGGCATCTTCCTACAGTATCTATACATGAGCTTCTGCAGTGAAAATAGGCACTGCGATGGATTTGGCCTCATGGGAGCAGTCTACAGAAAAAAAGCAGGATAGTCTCTTATACTTGCTGCTCTGCTCCTTGACACAGACAGAACAGCCAGGTCATGAACTATGGTCCAATCCTCTTGACTACAGAATTTCATGAATGAGATCAAACAGCTGTTCCTTCACAGTCTCCTTTCACTTGCCCAGCTCTACAGCAAATATAACTTACAGGTAGATCTTGCTTAACGACTGCCCTGTTTAGTGACCGTTCAAAGTTACAATGGTGCTGAAAAAATAACTTTACAGTCTTTGCATTTATGACCATCACAGCATCCCTGCGGTCACATGATCGACATTCGGGCACTTTGCAACTGGTGGGTGTTTACGACCATTGCAGCACATGATTGCCATCTGCATGTTTCACAGCCGGCTTCCAACAAAGTCAATGGAGAAGCTGGCAGTAAAATTGCAAGTCACAGTCATGAGACGTCTTGCTTAACGACTACGGTGGGAGTGAGGTTGTAAGTCCGTCGTGGTCATGTGATGTCTTGCTTAATGACCGTGTCACTTAGGGACAGAGTTGTCAGTCCTAATTGTGGTCATTAAGCGAGGGACTACTTGTAGTTGGCTGGGCTAAACATTAATCAGTCATGACAGAGCTCAGTTGGGCAAGTGAGAAGTGGAAGCTGCTCCTTCCACACCACCTGTCTATGCTGTCCACCTAGAGAAAGGAAGAAAATAAGAAAGCAAAGAATGGAAAGTGATGGCAGCATTTTTTTTCACTCTGTTACGTTTATAGACGTTCTCTGTTATCTACTGGCTATATGGAAAGGAGGTTTCAGACACATGCTGTCAAGCAGGAAATTCATAATCACAACTCCCCTAAGAGCAGGACAAAGAAATGATAGCTTTTGCCAGCCCCCCATTCCAAATAATATGCATCAATATATATCTAGAAATAATTTCTATATTTTAAATACAAATACATTGTAGTGTAGCAGGGAAGACTGTCACTAAGTGACTCGTATATCTCATTTGCTGTCTAGGAGTTGACAGCTGAAGGGCAATTTCAAGTCCTCTATTCATGATCCTTGGCTCTGAAAGGGACTTGAACCATAAAAGCCCTTCAGGTAAGATGTTTTCTGTCACACTGCAATCATGGCTTTTGGGTGGAGAGGACAGAGGACAGGAAGGAAAAGGAGACATTACTACTAAGTAAGCCAGGCAAAGAAGATTTCACGTGTAGCTAAGTCTTTGCTGCTCCTTTCTGAAAACACTCTTTTATTTCTGGAAAGAGGTTTGGTGAAGAACCTAGCTGCCAACACAAAGAACGTGGAATAGATTCTTTCATCGTCCAGAAGTAGGCTCAGCATCTGCAGTTTGTACACATTTTTTTTTAACTTTCTAATCCTTTTCAAGCTTTTTATTTCCCCCTTATCTGTATATTCCCAAATCTCACTGTTGTGATATCTACCCTGTAGATGGATGAAAAGAAAATACATGATATGACATGCACTTCACTTGCACCAAAGAACTGCTCTGTTTGTCTTAAATGATGAACATGTTGAATGAAATAGCTGGCCTTCCTTTTGTTTTTATTATATTATACATAAGCCTTTCTTAATTAAGAAAAAACTATTTGCAAACTTTATTATCTTCCATTTCCCTATGTCAAGGTTTACTTTCAATATTTTTATTTGATATTACTTTGACTAATATTAATTTAATCTACAATATGCAAAATAACACTCATGTGAATCTTGGTGTAAGTGGGCGCCAAATTGCAAAATGTTGATACTAATTACTCACTTTATTTTTAACATCAAATTGAAGATTAATGGGCAAGCATCTAAATATCATGAACAGAAATGGTATGCAAGTAATCATTTTTATGGGATGTCATGAACAGAAGATACCACACAGGGCTTGATTAGTTGAAGTTAGAAATAAACATCTGCTGAATGAACAACAACCCTAGTTGCACGACTTAAAGGCTACAACAAAATTGTACCTTGAGTTGCTTATTAAAAATATCCATTTCTGAGAGCTTGGAAGTGGTTTCTTTTTCTAGTGTATCTAGTTGTTCTTGAAGTTTTTGGCATAATTCTTCTTTCTCTGATGATTTCTTCTGCAGAGAATTAAGATGTGTATCTGCAAATGAAAGACCAAATATTTAATGTGTACTTACAAATTTTTCAATTTTTTGTCATTTATATATCCATATATTTTACTATTTAATTTACTAATGCTTTAGTCCTTGACAAACTGAACTATAGGAGAGAGCCGCCTTAAGCAGTCAGATTGCTAATGTAGAATGGTTGATGTCACACCACAAACAGGGAGATTTTCTGTGTGTTTGAGAAAGGGATCTCAGGGTCTCCTTCTCATACTTCATCTGAGGGAGCAAAAAAGAATGAATGTATTCTTACAAAGACATACATAGGAGAAAGACAGATGATACTTACAAAAAGAGTTGTTCATCTGCTTATGATTTATTTTCTCACTCAACTGCTGTTTCTCAGGAATAAGAACAATCAATTTATTCTGATAGTCCTGTAGAGTTGAGAAGGGTATATTTTAGAAAAGCATCACCAGCATAGTATGTGTTTGACATAATCAGAGGTATCTGATAACACAAATGAAAGCATATAGATAAGAAGCAACACTCCTGTACCCATTTAGTGGCTTCCAGAGCATCCTCCAAGCGACTATTACCCAATTTTCAACAAGTTTCTTGAGAAATTAAAAGGGTAAAAGGGGTACTTTAAGTATAATTTTGCACCTTAAAATCCCCAATCCGAAAAACGGGCCAATCCCCAAAGGTGAATTGTTAAAGCCCTCATATACCCACTATGGTGATATCATTTCAGTCATCCCCAGGACCCCCTGAAGCCAAAACATTTCCCAAAATATGTGGCCTCTGGATGGAACAAAACAAAACCTATCACTAATGTAGGCTGATATATTTCTGTATGGAGAACATATGACCAACAACAAAACTGGGAATAGAGGTAATAATGCAGGGCAGAGATCAGTAATCCTTATATATGGTATGCATCATTTATAAAATTTTGTACCATGAATGGATAAATGAAATTACCAACATTTCATGATACCCTGTCAAACACTGTCTCTGTCCTTGTGCTGTTGGTCAAGTGGAGGACATTATCCATAATGTCCTCCACTGCCCCATTTACAATGAAATTAGGGCCAAATTATTGATGGTAGGTGAACTCAGACCTTGAAAAACTGAACTACCTTCTTGCAGATGCGTTCTCAACTGTCAGCAACCAAGTTGCTACTTTTATTCTGCTATCATTTAAACAAAGAAAAACTTAAGTTTTTAGTTGTAGCTTTGGATCTATCTTGCTGCAACCTTTTTACATCCAATATACTCTTTATTACTTTGTTTTACAAACTTACTATTTTTCAGTACTGTTTTATTATTTTTTATGGCACGCTTTATGTTATGACCTGTGGTTACAGCAATAAATTTACTTACTAACATTTCATGAGTTAAGCATGTATGAACAGAGAAATTCTGGAAGATTGGGGTATCTCACAAGATTTCAACCAGTTAATTTTTAAAATATTTTCTTTTAACACCGCAGAAGACTGAACAAAGCAGGTAATCCTGCTTAGAAAATACTATGCCAAAAGCAAGCACCAATGCCCTGCCACATGCCAACACAAGTGTAAATTAAAAAATAATGAGTTCCATAATTTAAAATAATTTTCTTTGACATCTATTAAAATGTTCTGTTTGATGTCAAGCCCCATGCATCTGGGCAAGATCAAGGAAGTAGGAACTACACAAATTTCAGTAAATTATCTTTAATGTTAGTCTGGGTAAATACCAAGCCTTGGAAGCTCTAAGAGGAACTTCTAACCCTCATTCATAGTGAGTTCATTAAGGCAAAGTGTTTGAAAAGCTTCTTTCCAGGTTTCTTGCCCCCAGGGTTGAATTGCAATTTATAAGATAAAGCCTCCAAATAACTGTCTTCTGTCTCTTGATTGTTTATGTCTACCCTTGCTCCAACTCTTTTCCCAGCCTCATCACAATCTCTCACATTTGTTAACAAAATAAAATGTTCACTTAGTTGTAATTATGGATAAAGGTACAAGGTATGCTTGAATTGTGTTGGTTGGGGTCATGAATGTATGGGTACTTTTGTATGCAAATGATGCCATGTTGTTGGCTGAGAATCTCAATGATTTTCAGCAAATATGACATAAATTGCAAGATGCAACAATACTTAAAGACTACGGAGTTGTATTTGATAGAGAAATCACATGAACAAGTGTAAGTTATATACAAATGATGAAAACTTAGATCAAAAGAATGAACTTGTGTACCTTGGTAGAATGTTAACTAAAAATGGGAAAATGGATCAAGAAATTGTAAGACATGCAAATTTGTAGTAGAAAGGTGGTAGTCAGTAGTTGTGAGGAACAAATGTTTGTTGAGAGATATAAATATGTTGTGACATTTTGTTATATGAAAGTTAGGTATCAGGAAAAATGTAACGGTAAGTTGAATGGAGTGGGAATTGATTACCTACAAAGTTTGTGTGGTAAAACAAGATGGAGTCATGAATGAATGAGGACTGGATAAAAAATTGGTGACCATTATGAAAAAAAAAAGCATGCTGTGCTGATCTGATCATAAAGAAAAAATGAATGACAATCAAACTGCAAAAGGAATATATGAAGGAAGAGCTAATGGGGTGAGACAAAGGCTAAAACCAAGGAAGTAGTGGTTGGAAGGAGATGATGAGATTTTCAAAAAAAGAGAGATGCGGAATTTAAAGAATAAAGTGTAATGTATGACTCCCTGGATGGATGTGGTAGAAGCAAAGATGGTTTGTGAAGACAGATGGTTTATTTTTCTTTTCTCTTACATCCTGCCTTTAATTTCTTTGGTGTACTATTTCTTACTCCTTTTTTTGAAGTTTGCTTAATATTGCTTATCCCAAAAGAGAACAGCATGATGGATGGGTATGGGTACACACACCCACTTGTGCATGCATGCCTCTCATTTGCTACAACAGCTCCCTGCCCTTCACCACAGGAATTATACACACACAGAGTACTGTGCAAAAGTTTTAGGCAAGTGTGGAAAAAA